AGATGGTTGGATGGCATCACAGACTCAATGAACATGAGTTTGAGCAAGCTCTAGGAGTTGGTGATGGACACGGAAGCCTGGCATGCTGCAGTCCATGGGGTCGCAAAGAGTCAGACACTAAGCAACTGAACAGAACTGAACTGAATTTTCCAAGATGCATGCCTCCTGTAATTAAATCAAAAGGCAGTTCTTCACTCAGCACAAGTAAGTATCACACATTTTGGACCAGCAAGTTGTGACTACAGCGTCGTTTCAAATGAAACCAAAATTGGCCCCCAAAATACTTCAGCTGCTGCAAGAGGCTCTTCCCGTAGAGTGAGACTTCATGCAGACAGCTTTGCCAGTTCACTGTCGTAGCTAATTTGTTTTTAATCTTACAGGATGTTATGGCATTTTCTACAGGAAGAGGGCCTTCTGGGGAACGGAATGCGGGAAGGCCCAGAAAGGAAAGGACCTAAATGAAAGTATCCTTGCAGGCAGCTCACCCAGCCAAGCTCTGGTGGATTACAGGGGCCAAGGGGGGTGGGGGGGGGGGGGGTGGAGAGGGGAAGTGGGGCGCGGAACGGCAGGGAAGGGGGCAAGCGAGGACGGCAAACTGGAGCTCCCACCTCGAAAACGCCCAGGAAAAGGTGCAGACGTGAACATCACGCCTCAGTAGCTGAATGGCTGGACTAACCTCACGTGTGCGTGGCTGGCTCCCCCTGTGACAGGGGGGGGGCAGGCAGGGCAAGAGGCTGGTGCGGTGAGCGCCCCCAGAGGAGGAGGGGCTGGCCTCCCAAAGGGCCTCCGCTGGTGGCAGGTTGGACAGACCCGCTGGTGCAGACATCCCAGCCGCCTGGACACTCGACAGCCTCCCTCTTCAGGAACGGCAACCACCCATATGACCTCACTCCGCAGCCTCCTCAGCAGGACAGAGAAAATCCTGGGCTAAAGCCAAACACCTCGGGTGTCTTCATAAAGCAGCTCATGAAAGCCATGACCATGTGAGATTGTCTACAAACAGAGTGAACTTTTTTCAATAAACAAAGAGCACTAAAATACTTTTCCTTCAGAACCTGAGGCCGGTTGCTTGGTTGAGAAGTTTGGCCCCTAAAGCCAGAACTGTGGCCCTGACCCTGAGCAAATCATCAAATTGGACTCAGTTTACCAACCTGTGAAATGGGATTGTTTTACCTTCCCACCTACTTAGTCAACCTGGAATATATGAGAGTATCTGAAATACAGAGTCATTGTTAAACTTCAAGTCCTGTCTGCACTGCACAGACAGGGCAAAGAGAGCGCAATGAAGGGAGTTGCCTAACTTTGCCAGATGGCAGCGTGTCAAGATGCCACCGTGGACCAGGAGCCAGACACACAGGAGCAGAGCCGGGGGAGGGGAGGAGGACAGCAGGCAGGCTCTGGGGCCTGGGTCTGCACGGGGCCCAGACCGTGCTCCTGTGACGGGGTCCCTCATGCACAGGCAGGGGCCTGTTAAGGATGACCTGAGCCCCGAGGGGCGTCAGACAGGGCATGTGTCCCCTGGCTCTGCAGGGCACCAGGAGCCGGGGGCCAGCTCTCCTCTTCCTCAGGGCCCAGTCCCCAGGCAGAGAGGGTGTGATGTCAGCTTCCTTAACACCTTCTCTGGGTGCAGAAATTTGAAGTGGAGCCGTCTCAAGAAATACTCTATAAAATAAAACCTAAGGTCCCGAGATAGCTTGGCCAGCCAGCACAGACACTCACTCTCTTAAGAGAGTCTGCTGGCCGGGCAGGAATCTGGCCTCAGAGCCTAAGGGCCAGTGGGACACCAGAGGGCCTCCCCCTCTCCAGGGAACCCCTACCCTCACACACCACCATCCCGCCCCCCAAAAGCTGCAAACTCTGGGGGACTCGGCATTGCTATCCCTTACTGCACAGCCCCATGTGCTCCGCTTTCACCAGCTGCCGACTGAAAAAATCATGGACGCGTAGCTGCTGTCAACCTGACCGGCTGAGTTTTCAGTCCAAGTTTGGGGTAAAGACTTAAACAGAACAACAGCATCGTTTAAACGTGTTTCAGTCATCTCCTGTTGGCAGCTCCTACAACAAAAGGTCTAAGGCTCATCTCTGCTTTGAAACAAAGCAAAGCGATGGCTCAGGTCGTGTATATTACACGTCTGCACGTGGGCTGTTGGCTGAGCACAAAACGTTCAAGAGGGCCCCCACGCACAGGCACCACCAGCCACGTGTTGGCTTGCAGAACCCCGCCTGGAGACTAGTCCAGGAAGTCTACTTGGGGGTCCTGGCTCCCAGCTCCAGACGTCTGGACCACGAAGAGTAGTAATGGCTAGGTGACATCAGAGGTTGGCCTGCTTTAAGTTTTGGCCAGTAAGGACTCAAAACAGAAATGACCATCTTTTGTCATTAGCATGACAAAAAACATAAAATTTTAAAGATAAAGGACACTCTGTTGAAGACACTTCTGCTCATCAGGACTGGAGAATTCTGCTGTAAGACTGTCTCTGTCCCAGAGAGGCAGCAACAACTCCTGGGCACAAACGTCGGAAAAATGCCCACATCAGACAGGACGTGGACAGGTCACCCCATCATGGACATGAGATGAGACAGGAGCTCGGGGGAGACTGCGGCCAGCCACACTCTTCTCAGCTGCTGGAAACCACCCGAGCATGTTTGGAGTGAAAAAGGCCATCAGATGTGGACCAAAGAGACCAACTCACACCTCCTGCGGCCACGCGCAGGGACACAGTCCTCCGTCGAGAGTCCAGAAATCAAAGACAGACTGAGGAATTAGGAGCTCTGGCCCAAAGCTGGGAGGACTTGACTTAGCGTAATCGAGCAGCAGAGAGAGGCCCTGTGTTGGCCCTGTATCTCATGGGCCGCTTTCTGAGCTGCCAGGCGGGCAGAGTGTTCCGAGCAGCACAGTCTCTGTTGCTAAGAGTCGCTTCCCCAGCGTGCAGGCAGAGGTGGCCGCCCTCCTGGACTTCCCTTCCTTAAGTGAGAACGTCCCTGGACAGGGACCTGACCATGTGCTGCTGATCCAGGAGTCCACTTGCCCCTCTCCACCCAGAGGTCCCGGGGATTCCCTTTTCCAGAGCACGCAGGCCTACAGTAGATGATGACACAGGGAGATGCGGTGGATTCTGACCCCAAACCCCCATGACACGAGCCTGGAGAAGCCCAGAGCCAAGGGCGGGGAGCACCACGCCGTCTGGGAGAGGGTGCCCAGAGAGGCGCCATGCAGACTGCAGGGCAGACTCGCAGCCACGTCAGCCTGTCGTGAGGACGAGTTAGGTGCTCGCCCAGCACCTGACTGCGGGTGGGCCAGAGACCCAAGTGCCCTCCACTCTTTCCCTGAAGTGCTGGCTGGGCTACAAAGGAGGCCAGGCTGTGCTCCGTCCTTCAAGCCTTGCAGAGGCTATAACCATGGCAAACATGTAAACTCTCGGAAATCCACAAGATGAGCAGGTCCTGAGTCAAGCGTTAGGAAGATTTGGGGCATAGAGAACATAGGATGGCTGTCACTCAGGCGATGTACACTTGAGGACAGTGGATTTCCTTCCACAAAGGGCCACCGTCCATACAGGTCATGAGCTCCTTCGCTTAAACTCCTGTGTCTTAGTACACCTTTGTGATATATTCTGATATCAGGAGTGTAATGCCTCCAGTTTTGTTCTTTATCAAGATTGCTTTGGCTCTTCTTTCTGGGTACTCATTAACCTTAACTTTTAGCTATTCTCTTATTTCTGTAAAGACTGCCATTGGGATTTTGATGGGGATAAACACCGGCTATGGACGTTGTAACACTGAGTCTTCCAATCCACAAACATGTGGTGTCTTTCCATGATTTTTGCCTCCTCTAATTTCTTTTTTTAATGTTTTGTAGTTTTCAGAAATAAGACTTTCATCTCCTTAGTTAACTCCTAAATATTTTATTATTTCTGATGCTGTGTAAATGAGATAATTTGATCAATTTCTTTTTCAAATGATTTATGTTAATGTATAGAAATACAACTAATTTTTGTATCCTGCAACTTTACTGAATTCATTTATTAAATCTAACAGTTTTTTTAATGAAACTTTGGGGTCTTCTACAAATATAAACCATGTCATCTGCAAACAGATCATTTTACTTTTTTCTTTCCAATCTGGATGCTTTTCATTTCTTTTTCTTGCCTGATTGCCTGGCAAGTGGACAGTCTTGTTTTGCTCTTGTTCTTAGAGACAACCTCTTCAGTTTTCATCACTGAATATGATGTTAGCTGTTGGCATGTCATACATAGCCTTTATTATGTTGAGGTAATTTCCTGCTAATTCCTTTAAATTCCTATGGCACATAACCCTTGTGATTTTGGATTCTGCACTAACGTGGAAATGATGAACACAGAAACAGGTCAAGGCAGAAGTTTGTCTTTGCAATAAAGGAAAGTTTGTTAAAAAAACAAAAACAAAAAAGCAACTCCAACACGTTCCAGAGTAAATCTCTTTGTGACATCAGCATTGGGAGGTGAGCTCCTTTGACGTCTGGGGTCTACGAACAGTAACTTTGGTCAAGAGGTCAAGCTTGACCATGGTCAGTCCCAGAGTAATGGGTCCTGGTGGCAGTGGTCAGAGCACAAACTGGGTTAGCTGCAAGCCTTCTACGTCTGTCACCGCGAATGCCCCTAGAATCAGGCTGATGGCGCCATCAGATTTCCTACACGAAACCATAAGTAACAGAAGTGTGCTACTTCATAAACTGCAGCAACTGATTTTTCTCTATTTCATCTAGACTCTCATAAGTGGTGGCAACAGTGACGCTTCTCTGTGTGAGAAACACTCCACGTCCTGCAGGTGGAAGGACACCCAGCGCCCCATGAGGGCTGTTTCCAGGCCGCAGCCTCGGTTTTCACTGGAACCGTCCGGCAGTAAAGGTGTCCGCTGTTGGAACTATGACTGTGGGTAGTGGCTGAAGTGCCTTTAAAGGTGCGGATTATTTCACGGGGCAGAGCAAGGGCCCACAGCCCCCTCGTCTCTCCGCTTTCCAGTACAAGCTCACCGCCCGGGGCAGCTGCTCCTGGTCCGGCACCGACTCCAAACACTCCTTCCTTCGGGCGCCAGTTCCACTCTGTCGATTCCTCTCTGTGCACGTCGCTCTGCATCCAAAGACACCTGGGCTTCTCTCCGACCAGTCCAGCCCCACCAGAGTCCACCTCCTCATCAAGTTGTCAGACGTCCGTCAGGAGCGGGAGTGCTGAGCGTTTGGAGAGACCTCACCACCTGCGGCAAGATCACCGTCTTAGAGGGAAGGCAAAGAAGATAAGGAAACTGTAAGCAAGCGTCCATGCAAATCACGGAGACTAAGGCTCTTTTTCACTTGATATGTATTGAGATCCTGCATGTTGGGCACAGTTTTTAAGAACTAACAGTGTTAAAGGGCTAACCTTGAATTTGTTTTGTGAAAACTTAGACCTGAGTCAAAGAGAAAAGTAATTTCTCTTCTGGAAAATGTATTTTTAAAGAAAAGTTCTTTAAGGAAAACTGAGATTGTCTGCCCCAGTTAGTGAGTTATTAATGAATATAACAATCAGAAGGCTGATGATCAGACAGAACTTTCTTGCAGCCATTCTGTAAGAGTGAGGATATTGGCTTTCTCTGTAATTAAGTGGGATGATGTCCACATGAGACCAAAGCCAAACCGTACAGTCAGTGGAATAAAAGCTGCCCTTCATCTCTCCCCAGGAAGGCTTCCAGGGGTCACCTTCTGGGCTAGGAAATATTTGGTCCTGGCTCTGTCAAGAGTTATTTCTGCAGTATTGGCTTGATATTTTTAAGTAGTAACTGGCACTTTCTGAAAAGCATTTTTGGTTTTGGGGGACTTCTTTATTGTTTTCCTATGAAGCCTAACCTTTCAAATAAAGTAGCAGATATCCTGACATATCACACTTATGACACTTTACCCACCGACATTTAGAGACTTGACATTTTCTGAGTTTTCCTGGTCTGCAAAGACCAAGCAGATAACAGGCTCTACCCATCAAAGAGTCTCGTCACATACGAGCAAAGCAGAAAGCCCTGCAGTGTCATTACAGCGGTTTCAGATGGGACCTGAAACTAGAGTCTCTCCACCCTTTCGAGCTTGAGCGCTGCCCTGCAGCTCTTAGCATCAGCGGAGACAGCAGCAAAGGGCTGTGGGGGGCGGACTGAGGGCGTCTGGGAAGGGGCGTCGGGAGCAGAGGCAGAGACCCCCTCCCCCACCGGCTGCGGGGCTGCCGTCGGGGAGCGCGAGGCTCAGGGAGCCCTTTGGCCCGGGTCAGGGCGCTGCTGTCCTTGACCCTCATGCACTCACCTCCTCCTTGGAGCCTGGTGCAGACCAGGGCCCCAAAACCATCTGATTTCAGGATTCCTCTTCCAAATCTGTAGGGTCTTCCACCACATGAAAATACAAATATTTTTCACTTTTGAAGACACTAAAGAAAAAGTGGTTTGTCCATTAAACCTACTTGTGAGGGACAACTTATTGGGAAGAAACTTTGCCCAGTAGATTGTAATATTGTGTGGGAACTTCATGCTGAAGACCTGGATCTTTTCGTTTTTCCTAGATGACACCGATCTTGCCTAAACTGGATTCCTACACTTATGATATATGAAACAAATGTCTAGTTTTCCACACTTGAAGACTTGCCTAGTTAAAAAAATAAATCAAGAAGTTCTCCAACAGCCACCTTTATTTTTACAGCCACATGCGTCTCCTTGGCTCCCTGACTCTGAAATGCCAGCCCACCCACCTCCCATCCACCAGCCTGGCCGATAACCACCCCCACCCCCATTCCCTAGAAAACTCCATGTGGGGCCGAGCTGCTCTTTCTGCAGCCGTCATCCCACACCTGTGTTTGCATCACAGTTTGCCCACCCCTGTCCAAAGCTTTGGGCCGCCCGTGAGTGTCCACCCATGAGCCCCGACCCGTGAGCGCCCACCCATGAGCCCCCACCCCTGAGCGCCCACCCATGAGTGCCCCCCGTGAGCGCCCAGCCGCTCTGGCCCGTGCACTGGGGCTGCTGCTCTGCAGAAACCTGGGCCGCCCACCTTCTCCACCGCACACACGTGTGCCATGAGCCACAGAGGTCAACCGTGCAAGTCTGAAGCAAGGAGGCAGAGAAGCCCCTGGGGAAGGAGACAGTGGGGGGCAGGAGCCCCTCAGACAAACTGCCCTCTGCAGGGGAGCCGGGCGGCCGCCCTGAGGGAGGGGCCGCAGGGACGTCACGCTGCAGGTGTCTGCCCAGGCCCAAAGCCATCCTTGTTGCCCACGACTTCATCCTCTTCCTTCTTTCCAGGGTCTGACCGTGGTCATCGGAGCACTGCTTGAGCTATCCTTCCTGACACTGGCCCTACCTGCCTGTCCTCTTAGGAGGCCCATGAAAAGCTAAAAAAGAAAAAAAGTTCCGAAGCTGAGCAGCCAAAACTGGGAAGAAGAAACACCAGTAACTGGAAAGGCAGAGAGTTTTAAACCAGAGGCAGAGCTGCATGGTCCTTGATGACCTCCTTAATGGTGTTCAAGCTGGCAGAACATTTTGTTCAAATAAGATGGAATGAAGGATCCCAATTTACTAATGGATTTGTTGATTCTGGTTGATGGAGGGGTAGCGAGTCCATCGGCCAACAAACCACAGGCTTGGCCTGTTCCCAGCCCCTGCCAATAGAGAAGCTCAGAAAGCAGTTTGAAACCAGCACATCTGTTCTGCCTCTCTTTTTACAGCATAGAAACTGACCAGGAAGGTTAACCAACCTGCCAAAAGTGACATCCCACGTTTGGGCAGAAAGTGTTACTCACTCAGTCATGTCTGACTCTTTGCGACTCCATGGACTGCAGCCAGGCTCCCCTGTCCATGGGATTCTCCAGGAAAGAATACTGGAGTGGGTTGCCATTCCCTTCTCCAGGGGATCTTCCCAACCCAGTGATCGAACTTAGGTCTCCCACATTGGAGACAGATTCTTTACTGTCTGAGCCTCCAGGGAAGCCCTGGATCAAAGTTCAAGGCAACTGATCTTCACCCCAGCACTCCCTTGTAATGCCAAGAGAGACACTAACAAGAAGAATCACAGTGAAGTATGGATCCGAAGGATAGGAGGGCCATGATGCTCAAAAGTGGCAACTGACACATTCTCCTAACTTCCCTTTTCATAGAAACACAACAAGTTCACAGCTGTTATATTTCCTCTGCACTAAGTGTAGTGCATCAACCGAAACATAATGTATGAACCTGCAAATAAGAAAAGAGTTTATTTGGAGTCGTATGAATTGCACTTCAAGAGACACAGATGCAGGTGAACCCAAGTGAGAGTTCTGGGGAAGAGAAAGTCAGGAGCTTATAAAAGCAAACAGCCAGAAAGTCATTAAAAGTTGCCTGCCAATAATTGTGATTGATGTGAGTCAGGAAACACTTGTCCTTAAGGCGGCATGAGTTATTCTGAGTTTGTTGTTATTGTTTGGCCACTCAGTCATGTTGAAATCTTTCTGACCCCATGGACTACGGCACGCCAGGCTTCCCTTTCTTTCACTATCTCCCAGAGTTTGCTCAAACTCATGTCCGTCGAGTCGGTGATGCCATCCAGCCATCTCATCCTCTGTCGTCCCCTTCTCCTCCTGCCTTCAGTCTTTTCCAGCATCAGGGTCTTTCCCAGTGAGTCAGTTCTTCACATGGCCGAAGTATTGGAGCTTCAGCTTCAGCATCAGTCCTTCCAATGGACATTCAGGGTTGATTTCCTGTAGGATTGACTGGTTTGATTTCCTTGCAGTCCAAGGGACTCTCAAGAGTGTTCTCCAGCACCACAGTTCAAAAGCATCAACTTTTCGGAGCTCAGCTTTCTTTATGGTCCAACTCTTACATCCAAACATGACTACTGGGAAAACCAAAGCTTTGACTATATTAACCTTTGTTGGCAAAGTGATGTCACTGCTTTTTAACATGCTGTCTAGGTTTGACATAGTCTTAGTGAGGGAGCAAAAATAGCTGACACTTTTGCAGCTATGATCACAATGATCACACCATGGAAGACTGCCCTAATCCATTTTGCTTTTAACATGCGGTAATTCGCAGTGGCCATGTTGAGAGTTGTGTGAATATGCCCTTGAATTTGGAGGAATCCTAAGGAATAACATCCTATCTACTCAGGAGGGAGTCAAGCCAGAAGTTAGTTCTACAAAGCCGTTGGGTTCCATCTGGGGTTTCCCAGTAAACACTAGGTCATCTGTCCCAATCAGTTCCAAACCAGCCTTTAAAGAGACAGTTGCAGCTCAAGAATCACATGGTGCGACATCTGTTGGTGACTTTTTTTCCGTATGGTTACGCTGCCCCCAGCAGACAGGGATCTTGGTGTTTAGATATCCATACTCTGGTGGATTGGAGTTTCAGCTTCAACCAGAAGCTGATAATCAGGGTATGGTATCCCCTAAAAGATGGGAGGTTAAATTTTTAAGTTCTGGTCTAGCTCTTTCCTGAGATTGGACCTTGGTAGCACTAAGAAGAAGAGAGAGAAAAAAAAATAGTTTGTGGTGTCATTTAAGGTTTGGTTGATGGGCTATTCATGTGGGTTCCAATTAGTGAAATCTGCTGTTGCTAAAGGAGCTTCCCTGGTAGCTCATGTGGTAAAGAATCTGCCTGTAATGCAGGAGACATGGGTTTGACCCCTGGGATGGGAAGATCCCCTGGAGGAGGGAGTGGTTACCCACTCCATATTTTTGCCTGGAGAACTCCACGGACAAAGGAAATATAGAATACTACTGTGATTCCCCTCAAAAATAAAAGCTCCTAAGCTATAATGGGGGTATACATCAAGGTAACCCAGAAGCACTGGAGCAGGGCAGTTGTCTACAAATTCAGCAATTTGATTTACTTTTTAAAATGAGCATATGATTGTCGTCATAGAAGAAAAAGCATTGAAAGGTGGAAAAAAGCAAATAAAAAGTAAGATTATACAAGCCTGGCCCTGAATCTTGGGACAGTTGTCCACAATGGATGTTGTCTGTTTCAGTTTCCTACCTTTTGTCTGGTTAATTTTAGTTTCAAGTCTCCAGATGGTTGTGAAGTCCAAGTAGGAGGTGGTATCTTCTTTAAATGAGAAAAATGAATCCACGCAATGATGTCCTTAAGTTTAGCAGCACAGAGGTTAGTTAGAAATACGTAGAGGAAATCAACCCTGAATATTCATTGGAAGGACTGATGCTGAAGCTGACGTTACAACACTCTGGCCACCTGA